TATCAAGATTCATACAGAGGCATAAGTGATCCCCACTTACTTAAACATGCCATGACCCTTGGTTGTAAATGTATCTGTTATTTGACTTTCTAATGACGTAACAGCAGGCGGGCCACACCTGCAACATGCTGCCTTAAATTAAATTAACTTAATTCAATTAAGTGGATCAACTTTTTAGGTGACTGTATCAGCAGCGAAACACCAAAGAGAGTCCTGTCTAAGTGGCTGTGTGAAACTGTCATGTCTACAGTAATAACCTCATACTGTGTTGTGTGCTTTAGCTGGGAATAGAGTGGAAATCCTACTGGGTCCTAAGCAGGCAAATTGGTAGAGAATCCTTCACAGAAAAGTGACTCTAGAGATTTCTGTTCCCACATAACGCTGAAACTGTAAAAAAAACATTTTAGAAGCATAATGTTTTCAGGTTGTTGGTCCGTCCGTCCCATTCTTGTGAACGCAATATCTCAGGAACGCCGTGGGGAAATTTCTTCAGATCTTTAACAAACGTCATCTTGTACTCAGCGATCAACTCCACTTTTTTGGCCACATTGGTGACATTTTGTCACTTTTGTGACCTCAAAATACTTTTTTTTTTGCCATAATTTAAGAATGAATTGGCCCAGTGGGTTGACCTATTATCATATTCTAGTATCATTAATTATAGGGTGATAATTCCATAGAGGCCAAAAATTCCTGTTTAGGTATATATATATATATATATATATACTGTATTATATGAGTCTTGACAGACATTATTGTAAACTGCAACTTGACTGGTTTGGAGGCATACAACCACAGGGAGTTATCTCTTTGTCGCTCGTCCACTTTGTACCTTCACTCCCTCTACTGCCCTCTGTAGTCCCTCCCTCCTACTGTACGTCCTCTCTTTTAAATGTCACTCTACCTCTAGTTATTCATCACTTTATCTCCGTCTCTCTATCTAATTCACATTGCCCCTTGGTCCCCTCACCCTGTGCTGGGCTCTGTGCCCGGGCAGCTACTGTAGCTTGCTCTGTTGGCTAGAACTGCAGCAGTCGAGTCCAACCTCACACTGCCGCCCTGTTCTCTGCTATACACTGAATGCTGAAGTTACTAAGAGCAAAAGAAATGTTGAACTGAGAAAGGCAGAGATTAGTAATCCCGGTTTAATCGTCATTACAGTGTAGTTTAGACATAGTTGCTGGGTTTCATAGATGTCAGATGATAGATCTATGCTACTTCCTTAAGTGGCTGTTGTAAAAACCCTGAAATGATCATTTGCTACTCAGTCTGTCTCATTCTCTACCCTGTGTGCTTCGATTTTTTATTGACCTGATTGTGACAAGGACTTAGAAATGTGCTATAATGCTGTGTGTGTGTGTGTGTGTGTTTGTGATGGATGACTGCTATGTAGTGAGGACAACCATTGTGGAATGTGCCAAACTAAAATGAGTAGAGGAAGTCACCTTGCAGTGAATCATTATAGTTATAGAGAGTTTGTAGCCGCATTGCAGGTCGTTTCACCTCAGTGGTCTTAAGTTGAATAGTGTGTGTGAGTTATTTACTAACTTAAAGGTAGAGGAGGTGACTGAATAGATGGAGGAATGTCACAGAAATTCTTTAACAAAAGGTTGTAGCTAAGTCTTTCATCACATAAAGAAAAGACAACAATACCTGTATCTGAATTGAACTTTACAAAAAACCCACCAGGGGTTCATAGAACAGCTCATTCATTCACACAGATGAGGTGAAGAGAGCACCCTGTGTACTTTACACATGCAAGGTGTGTGTGTGTGTGCGGGGGCGTGTGTGTGTGTACATGACACAAAAATAGAGTTGATATGGTTTGCATTGCATTTGCATGTTAAATTATCCACCCAGCCCAATGAATACAAACCAATTAAACATGTTAAATAACCAAGATAAAGATTAATTCCAAAGATTTGGAATTATTAAGGAGTATTTTTAGGAGTGTAGTTTTTAATGATGTGGTATTTGCGCTAAGCTAGGCTAATCATGTATTTGAGCTACAACTAGAAATCCCATCATCCAGCACAAATTATTTTCTTCCTTCCTACCACTGATGCTGCGTGATCAATAAATGTTTTAGCTGCAGCTGTTTCATGTAAACTAGAGAGAACAGTTCAACCTTTGTACTTTTATGTAGTTAAAGTTTATGTTGGTGGGCCACAGATGTGACAGATGTGGGTTACTAGGTCACTGGGTCATGTAAAACTCTCAATAACTGGTGAGGGTCCTGTGATTATGTTATGTGCTTGGAAACAGGCCTGACTCATAAACTTAATTTGAATCACACTTTATCATATGAAGACTTTTCCTCTTTTGGTTTGTTCAATGTCAGGATTGGCATAGCTGTGTGTGGTGTGTGTGCCCGCCTGTCGTGTCGGTGTGACCCCCCTGTCTGTGTGTGCACCGTCGTGTGGTGCCTTGCTGTGTTGTTGAGTGTGATCACCAAACACGTATTTAAAGGTCCAGTCTGGACATCATCTATATCAATCTTGGCGAAAGGTGGAATATAATATGTGTATGTTTCTCATTAGTGTGTAGTCACCTGAAAATAAGAAAGTTACCTTAGACTGAGGCATTTTGTTTCACAGTGCTGCTAGTGGGTTGTACAGATCTATAGTTGTTTTGGCCTGATGGCAGCAACTACAACTGATGTGTAATATCAGAAACTCATGTGTCTCGTGAGTCCTCAACCAACATATAGGATGGTGGCTGTATTATTCTACAGATAAACTAGAGTTTTATTTTAATCATTTTAAACATTACATGCTGAACAGGAGCAAATAAATTCACTGTTCATTTGCCACTGTGATCACTCAGTGTTGATATTGTACAGATATGCAGAACCCTGGATGAATGTATGTTGCTAGGTTACCTAAAGCGAGAAAAGTGACACCAGAACGGGTGAAGCTTTACTGCATTGTGTTCAGACCAGTGCCTCCTTCATCTTGTGCTTTCAAAGTGGAGCTGATGTGCATCCTGTTTCTGCCCTGAGCAGAGAACATTTCTTGCACTCTGAAAATGCTCAGCGCTAAAAGTTCAGCTTTTAGCTAAAGCTCCACATCAAATGGGTTGTCAGTTGTCTCATAGCAACAGCAGCTACGGCAAGTGCTTCCCCAAAACAGATGTTGCTTTGCAAGATAGATAAAAGGTGCCTCTGGATCCAAGAGCAAAGCAAAGTTGTTTTTAGCTCCGTGTCATGTTATTTTTCTTTGGGAAGCACTTTGTCACTATTAGCTCATTGTTTGAAGGGGATTCCTTTACAATGTCAGATGGTCTCTATTTAATATGTTGTTTTTTTTTACACCCTCATGATTCACTAACGTCCCTTATTTCACAGAGAAGTGGGCTCCTGACCAACAGTGATCTTTGATGTTACATAAGACAGACTTCTGATAAACATTTCATTTATTTAGCCCTCATATAAACCCAGATGACTGCTATAAATATAAAACTTGTAGATAGATGTGTAAAACCGGTGGTTCCTCTTTAATGCTCAAAAACTGCTAATCTGCTTTATCACTTCAAGCTGGTGAGAAATGTCAGAAAAGAGCACTAAAACAGAAAACCGTTGTTAGTTTGGCTGTGTGTTCAGCAGGGTCCAGCTTCATATCAACCTCTAAAAAATAAATGTCTTTAATTACATTTTGGCATCAAACTCATACGTGTGCCATCCAGAGATGAGGCTTTGATCCCAACCAGACACACTTGTAAATTAAGTCACCAATAGCTTACACAGCCTAACCAGTAGGAACTGACTGCTGCAAAGCATCTGGTGTGGTGTTGGGTTGCAGTGAAACCCTGTAAACATACTTTATCTCTCCGTGGCTCATGTGTTGAGACACACAGAAGAACCAAGTTAGTGTCACAGGAGCTTTCCATGTCTAACTAAAGGAAGCTGTTGGAGAAAAACAATCATTGTCTGCACTTTTTTTCTTCACTTTGATCCTCCACTATGCCTCACAGATTAATACTGTGTCGAAAATATTTTTATTGTTCCCAAAAATTTTAAACCACTGACCCTGTTTGGCCATTTTGGTAGCTTTTAATAATTACTTCAGTTTCGACGAACTGAACCAATCCCAGTGCAGGGGATAGAGATATTTTTTAATCTGATTTTGCGCATTTTGGGCTTTTCTGCCCCGCCTGATGTCCCAGGCTGTCACTGACCTCGTTGGTTACAACACGACTGACCTTGCATGGCATCATGACTGCGAGCCAGGGATGAGGATTAACTGTCTGCGTCAGTGGAAGAGAGAGAGAGCATTCCCTGAAGCCAATTGACAATTTGTTCAGATGTAATGAAATGGGTGGCAGACCACTCCTCCCTCAGTTCTGCCATGAAAACCTGCATGCAGTGACAGTGATTGCCTCATTTTTGCAAATTGAAAAAGCAAAAAGTATAATAGAATGATAATGACAATCTCAACCCCTCTGCTTTATCACAGTTTATTCTCTAAGTTTTTCATGGATAACAGCTTCCTTTTTTAAGCATCTGTCTTTCACAAGCGAGAAAATAAAATTTTAATTACCTCTAGGATAACAGAAGCATTCCCAGTGTTTGGGAATGTACTGTACATAATTGGGGAGAGAGCCGAGGTCTGGAATCACACAATGTCTCACATTCCTGATGATTTTAGAAGTAAAACCAATATAATTTAAGCAATCCTGCTGTGAAAGGCTTTTTAATTACAAAGCTGCATGAGAACTGAACATGTGACCAAAAATAGCATGTGGTGCAGATGTATAATTTATCATTAATAGCAGTTATAAACAGTATAAAGTAGTAGGCAGCATGATGTAAAATTATACATGGAAAAACACCAAATAGCTTTATATACATTGTAAACAACCAGGCTAGCTGTTTAAACTTGTTTTCTGTCTTTGTGCTAGGCTAAGCTAACCAGCTGCTGGCTGTAGCGTCACATTTTACAGTACAGACACGATGTCACAAAATGTCCAGCAATAGTGCAGTTGTCTTGGTGGGGCAGGAAATGATTCTAACATCCATAACAACATTATAAATCTAGCCTCTGAAGCCCTGTGTGATGACCTGCAGTTGTTTCTAGGTTTATTGCTGGTGGGTCATCACATGACAAGAGTTTATAGGATTCACAGCAAGAAAGAATAAATGTGTCACTTATAACTGCAGATGTCACAGGTCACTGTGGTAGTTTCAGCTGGACTTTAGGCAAGCCTTTTGAATGGACCGAAGGCTAACCTTTGACCCACATTAGGCCAAAGTGCAGCTATCGTTTCAGTTTTCGCGTCAGTGCTCTGCTCCCTCTCTCCTCCACTGTCAGAGCTTGTATCCCACCCGTCCTCCTCACTGCACAGTCTCTTAAGCTCTACATTCGCTCTCTCCTCTTTATCTTCCCCTCTATTCATCTTCCTTTTCAACCATTCCTCCTTGTTCTCTTGCTCTTTCCTCAGGCGGTCTTCCAGCTCTTCTTCTTCCGTCTCTAACCTCTGCTCCTGCTCTGGATCCATGTTTATCTTCGTCTCTGCTGTCTTTTGTTTGCTCTTCACATCCGTCTCTGCCTCCAGTCGAGCTCTCAGCTCCTGCTCTCTGAGGCTCCATTTCTCCTCCAGCCTTTGGTACATGTGAAGGGAGAAGTGCCATCCTCCGTTCTCCTGCAAGATGTCTTCCACTTTACTCAGCAGCTCTCTCACCTGCTCCTGCTCTGCTTCCTTTCTCCCATTAGCCTCACCTCCTGTGCTTCCTGCCTCGTTGTCGTCTGTCTTCCGCAAAGTTCCTTCCTTTTTCTTCTGACCTCCCTTCACCTCCTGCTTGCCAGGGAAAGCTGCCTTGTTATTGAACACGTGGTACCGATAGCGACACTTCTCCATCAGCCAATGCAAGGCGGGGCCTCCTGATTGGATGTGCTCCTTCACACTGCGCCCTCCTTGCCTCAGCCAGTCTCCACATGTGAACAACACCATAGTGTGTCTCCAGACGGTAGAGGTCAAGATCTCCATCCTCCTCTCCACTGCTCTCCTCTCAGGCTCAGTGAAGTCCAGCAGAGGAACCACTAATAGAATAACATGAGGCCCTCCAGGCCCACATAGAGACAAAGCTCTCAGCAGTTCAGTTTTCTCCTCTCGTGGGACAAACTCCTCAGATGAACCCCAACCCTGTGAGTCCACCACGCTCACCTGACGTCCAGAGGTGATGGCGCTGGCAGCCGTGCTAGCCTTGCCTCCTCTGGTTTCAAAAACCTGACCCCGGCCCAGCAGGGTGTTACCAGTAGAGCTCTTGCCTGTCCGTCTGGGACCAACGAGCAAAATATTAAGTTCTTGTGAGGCTGAAAAGAGAAGATTGAGAGAGTAAGTTTTTAATCTGCAGCTTGAACCTTCCTGGATTCCAAAGATTTGTGAACATGACATTTATTGTTGTCTAGTATGCTCATTATAGACTGATCAGTTATTGAAAGGTAGCGAAAAAAAGGTTATGACATGGCTGAATGGAAGAAGTGAATCTATTATCTCATTATCTTGCAGAGATTGACTGTCATTTTAGGTTTATCTTTTACTCCTCTTCCTTCCAGTATTTGCACAGGAAGTGGTTCACTGGAGGTTTATAAGCAGATTCCTGTGTTTGACTGCAGGACTGTTATTTGATCTGGAGCTGAACTAAACAGCTGTGCCTACCCCTCATAGTCAGCACTGATCAAAATGCAAAGTCTGAATGCTAGGCATGTGTAAGATATATCAGACTCCAGCTTAAAAATGTCTATGGCTCCAACATTTGAGAAAACACACAATGTTAACATACCGTCATTTCCTGGTAGGTTGCAGCTTCCCATTGTGACTTTCTCGTCTTTCTTGTGGATGATTCCTAGAGGCCACAGGTGTAGCATAGTGGCTTTACATCAGGGGTCCCTGAAACCAGATTCATGTGAACTCTTGTTTGAGTATTGTCTCTCTGGATTTCTTCTTACTGTCACTGTATGGTTAAGCACCTGAGATACACCCTCCTCTTATCCACACATTGACTGAAGCGCCTCCCAGTTTTTATTGCCCTCTTGAGGAAAATAAAACTATAAAACTTTTATAATTCCTATCAAACAGATTTTCTCTTTCAGGAACTTCAACTGAATTTGATGTGTTGGTGTTTTTAGAGTGAGATTAAAGATTGTTGTCAACATCTGTCATTGTTTAACTAGTGTTACTCACTGTTGAGCTGTTTTGATGAGCAGAAGAGCTTCCCTACAACAGAGGAACTTTTAGTTTAAGGATGTTATATAGACAGTTTGTTGCATTACAACAGAACAGAGTTGCGTCAAAGAAGAGAACAGTTTCCAGTGCATCCTGATACTACAATAAATATAATGTTATGCTCAGTAAACAAGGGGATACTTATAATGCAGAGTGTCACTATAAGCAGTAAAATGTAGGCAATGCATTAATTGTTTGACTTTGATTAACACTAATAACTACATGTTGCTGCCAGTGTATTTTATGCTATCACTGTATGTAGTAAATATGCATTGGACATGCATGCATATGAGAGGTCATGAAATGTAATCACAATACAATAACACAAGATATTGTACTAAATATAGTCTGTTTTATTATATCAACACACCCATCATCTGACTGTGAATGTTCATGTGGCTGCTTACTCACTTCCCCATTATTGTTTTACAGCTATCATAACAACGTAACTTTCACATTTTACGTGTCTCAAGGCTCGTCTACATGTTTGTGTCAATTAGCTGGTCTCCCTCCCTATCGCTCTAATCATCAGTGCTCTCATGTGTGTCTGCGTTTGTGTGCCTCACAGATTATAGTTTACTCTGACTCTAAACCTGTGTTTTTGTGCATGTGCTGTGTGTCATCTTTTGTTGATATTGTTCACCCATAAATGTAAGAACTTTATGGAATTTTAATGACTAAATTTCAACAATACCACTATAAGAAAAGTCCACACTCAGATGCTTATATTTAAGAGTCTGGTACATTCGTATGTGATGAAATTCTGTTATTTACCTCTTTGTATCCACCTGCCTCATCGACTTACTTCAGTTAGTGATTTCCGACATTACTCAGAATGACTTTGGGCAACTTCCAGACAGCAGGTATAAACTTGTTGTGTTCAGCTGCAAGTTATACTTTAGGTGGAAGTGGAGGTGAGCATTAATGTTAATGACAAATAATGTTTAGTTGTATTCTACTCTTAAGAGAAGGTATTTTATCTCTTCCTGTAAATCAGCTGATTTCTAATTTAAAATGGGCGATGTGGAGTATTCCACAAACATTACACCTTTCTGTCTCTTCCCTCCAGCCGCTCTCACGTCTCTCTCTGATCAGCACACACACACTGACCTGACAGGTGAAGCCAGTGGAGGATCAGCCAGCTTTTTTTATCCCAGTCTGTCTTGGTCAGATTGGTGTTGAGAGCCCATATGCGCACGTGTGAGAGCTCACGCTTGTATATGTGTGAATGCACGTGTTTGTGTGTGTGTGTGTGTGTGTCTGTGTCTGTGTGGTTTTCCCACTTTAATTTGCACATAAAACTACTGAAGCTAGAGTAGCAGGAGCAAAGTTTCCCCAAGTCTCTCCTCCTTTTCACCTTTAACTTTTCTCTCTTTTGATCTTTACTCTCTGATCTTTTCTACCTTGTCTCTGTCTTAACTTTACATGCTTTGTCGTTACCGCTGTCTTTGTTCTTTTATCTGACACACACACACACACATACATTAAGCTTTCCTAATTGTCCATATCATTAGGTGACCTTGTCTAATGAGGCTGCCCATCACATCTTGACACTTTGGTCTAATATACAGAATTTAGTTATAATTATTTATTTCCACATTCCTGAACAGTTTTGTTGTTCCTGAATCATTTTACCTGCTATAAAACATAGACGTGTCTTCCTTTTTAAAGGTTATACTTCTGTCTTCTACACTATTAAGGAGAACATTAGATTTTTCTATAGCAATTCCTAGTATAAAAAGAGACTTTTTGCATGTACAGTACACACATTTCCTGTAACGTCTTGCACAAATAAAGGGACAAATAATAGGGATTATTCCCCTTCATCTTACCCTAACTACATTTTTATTCCAATTATTTACCATACATTATAATTTAAATGAATTTGAGTGTTTAACAGATATTAAACCTGCATTCAATATGCATTATAAGGTAAAACATATTAATCAGTTAAGTTGAAAATCGTAAAAGCCAAAACAATGAACTGAAAGATGCTAAAACACTACGTAGAGCTGAGAGGAACAGTAGAATTCAGTGATAATTTTCGATGGTTTTATCATTAATATCTACCACCTTTCATATTTCAATTTAATTTCATCCATTGTCAACATAAAAATATATTTTAGTGCAGCTTTAAGCAATTATATTTGCTTGTCCTTTTCACCTCATCTTATGAAGGTTTGCAGTTTGATTGCTTACATTTGTTCTCTGTCAGACTGAACAAGCTATCTTTACTCATGAAAGTATTTTTTTTTTTTTAACGTGCACACTAACAAAATATCACAATGTATCAACATCAGCAGATTCTCTGCAGATTTCACAGCAGTGAAGGATGGTTCATCATGTTTAAAAACCTGCATGTAAGCAGTAATATTAATTGATGGCATGTTTAGTAAATGATACCAACAGATTTCCTCAAATATTGACATTTTTATGAATAAGGTCCACCTCCCTGCAGTATGTAACTGTCAAGGATATCTGAGGGTCAGACAGGCCGGCTGTGCTCTCTTCTTTTTCTATTTATCCCTTCTTTCCTCTTTGTGTCTATCCTCTCTCATCTCATGACCTCTTACCATCTTTCACTGCTTCATCTCCTTTGCTCTTTTCTCTTCTTCCTCACCCCGGTGCTCCTACTCCTCCTCCCCCACGCACTTCTACCTTCACATCTTTCCTCCTCCTGTTTCTCTTATCACTTTGCCTCTTATCCCAGAGGAGACGGTGAACAGTGGATTTACAGTAATGCAGGATGGTAAAGAGAGAACAAGGCTTTAAAAAGAAACATTGGCATGGCTTGTATTACCACCAACTCCTCTCTAGCCAGTTCTGCCCACAATGCACATCTTTCTGTGTGACACTAAGGTGGCTGGTAAGATATGACTCATACCACAGGATCTGCACAAACAATTTAAGCACCAAAGTTAGCTTTAGCCAAATATGGATGGAGTTTGCTCAGGGAGGACTTCGGAAAACAGGATTTTCACACCATCCTCTCGAAAATTTGTGTGGGACGGACTTAGTAAAACTATGTTTGTAGCCATTAGTCCTCCCACCCTGTGGCTGCATCCTTTTTTTAGTACAAAAGGGTTTTCTAACAAATCCTCTGGATTGTAGCAACATTAACTGCATTAGTTCTGCACAACATGCTGCTTCAACGTGTCTTTAAGTGTGATTGTGCTAAAAAAAATTGCCGGTGTTACACAATGTGCTGGGGAAGAGGATACAGGACACCACCGGAGGTACATTAGCTAGAGATAAGGCCAGCTTCCCTAAGTGGCTTTGAAGGACGTTGGTGTTTCAGCGTCTCGTGTGTTTGAAAAGGAGGACACTGTGCTCTAAGAGTAAAGCTATACCTTCGGCCAATCCTTTTCTTTGTTGTGTTGAGATTGTGTTAAGTGACATTTCAATGCAGTTATTTGTTCAATTTCTCTTTGTTGTGAAATGAGGAACCCACCTTCTGAATTTGGCTGTACCCAGGTTCCATATTTATTACATTGCATTGTGTTGTTCTACATACAGTATGAGAGTCACAAAAGCATAGCATTTCTGATCTACCAATTACTTAATTTTAACAGGTAAAAATTGCCCCTGTGTTTCCCAATCAAGGAAATTTCTAGCCTGTGCAAATCTCCTCCCCGGAGCGCCTCACATTTCCACTCGGTGTTATTAGTGAGCAAGCAGCCTCTGCAGAAGCTAAAAGTTGTAATTCTTAAGTCAATGTGACAATTAAAGCTTTATTCTTATCAGAGAATTGTTGAAGTGGCTACCTAATTAGCTATCTTATCTGCCTCTCTTGCAAAAAGTTTTTTAATTTATGTCAAGTGCAGGCCACCGTGAACTGTCAGGGACAAGTTTCCAACTGAGATTAAATTGTTAGTTTAATCTAACAATTAGTTCATCTGCTGCTTTTACTGCTTTGAAGCAGATATAAAATTGGCTCACTATTAGAAAGGCATTAAACATCTACTTTCGAGTATGGAAACTTTCAGCTGTAGAATATGCTGTTTACATTGGTTTTTCCTCTTGTTCCTTTGCTCTCGTAAACTAGCGGACAGATAGTAGCTCACATGTTACAGTAGCTTAAATCCTGGTAGCCTGTATTGTGTGTGTATATACAGCTCAGAGCAGCTTTGATGGTTACACACAGGCAAAACACGAAAATCCTGAGATTCTCCTCCAAATTCTCTTATTTTATAATCTGCCACACAGTTGCAAACATTAGTTTTTATTAGCCTGCCATGGTGTGAGCTGTTGGAACAAGACTTTGTAAGAAAAATATTACCAAATCCATGTGACTATGGCTGGATATCATTTCAATTTTTATGATACTTTTTTTGCTACTTTCCAGTAGGGCTGCACAATTAATCGCAATATGAGTTTCAACCTTATATATACTGTCAGTGGTTTCAACAAGGCTGTAAACAGGTGTTCTAGCAAACACTTCCTTTTATTAAACTAAGGCTTAACTTCTCAAATCTTTAGAAGCTTGATGAAATTAAATGGTGTGATTTAAATCAGAAAATGTCTGAAAATTTAAGAAGTACACATTTGAGTGAGTGTTTGATGCCAGCTTTTGGTACTTGACAGGTTTACATATTTGGTGCCACAGACACATTTGTGTTGGTAACAAAGCGTAGTACAGTTTTATTCCCAGCTTCCAGGGCTGATTTGCCCTTAACTGAGCTCAGAGCCTCTGTATGTGTTGTTTACTTCACATCATTAGATC